TTCTCCGAACACTGCAACTTTGGTGAGGCCTTGTCAGCCATGCTATGGGACCGTCTGGTGTGTGGTATCCTGGACAAAAGGCTGCAGCGTCGTCCCCTGGGCAAACCAGTGTTGGAGTTCAAAAAGGCGTTAGAGGCTGCAGATCCTTCGCCTTTGTAGGATTTGCAGCAACGACATTGATTTCCGTCAACAGCTTAAAGGGGCACTCAAGTGGATTCTGAGATCGTCTATTTATTGGCATAACTCAATCTATGGGCTTTAAGCATCCTAAAAAAACCAAGATAGCATTCAAGGGCAGCCGATTTTCATAGTAAAAATCCAATTAAAGATTGTGGAACCCTTTCCGTGCCGTAGTGCAGAACACCAGGTGGTGCCACCGGACGGGAAGGCAGCAGTGGAGGGCACGCGACAGCCAGTCACGAGTGACGGCTTCTCGGCGGACTGATTTTTCAAAGGTGCACATGATTGAAAATTTAGTGTGCCAGGAAGCCATTATTCGTAATTGGCTGTCATGTGCCCTCCCCTGCTGCCTTCCCGTCCGATGGCACCCTCTGGCGTTCTGCGCCACGGTGCAGAAAGGAGGGCATGCCACAATTTTTAATAGAATTTTAAATAGCGAGATTGACCGCCCTTGTATGTAATTTCGGGTTTCGTAAAATGCTTGGAGTCCATAGATTGAGTTATGACAATAAATAGACGATCTCAGAATCCACCTGAGTGCCCCTTTAAGACAATGACTGCCTTCTTTATCTAAAGTAGCTACCCACTCAGCGTTCTGTGCAATGCAAGCAGTCGCGTCTCTAACATTTCACGGCACGACGCTCTATTTCCCCAACCAAGATCTAAACCACCATGCAACACCCTCATCATCACGTTCCATCCCTCCATACCCAGGCTCAGCAAACTAATCATGGATACCACTTTCCACCTGGTAGACTCTATAGTTATTTCTAAAGCACCCACCCTAATTTCCTATCGACAGACCCAACTTACGATCCCTTCCAGTATGCAGCAACCACTCCGAAACCCCCTCATCTTTACGTTCCATCCCTCCGTACCCAGGCTCGGCAAACTAATCATGGAAACCACTTCCCACACCGTAGGCTCTACAGATATTTCTAAAGCACCCACCGTAACTTCCTATCGAAGCCCAACTTACAATCCCTTCCAGTATGCAGCAACCACTCCGAAACCCCCTCATCTTTACGTTCCATCCCTCCGTGCCCAGGCTCGGCAAACTAATCATGGAGACCACTTTCCACCTCGTAGACTCTACAGTTATTTCTAAAGCACCCACCCTAACTTCCTATCGACAGACCCAACTTACGATCCCTTCTAGTATGCAGCAACCACTCTGAAACCCCCTCATCTTTACGTTCCATTCCTCCATACCCAGGCTCGGCAAACTAATCATGGAGACCACTTCCCACCTCATAGACTCTACAGTTATTTCTAAAGCACCCGCCCTAATCTCCTATCGAAGGCCAACTTACGATCCCTTCCAGTATGCAGCGACCACTCCGAAACCCCCTCACCTTTTCGTTCCATCCCTCCATACCCAGGCTCGGCAAACTAATCATGGAGACCACTTTCTACCTTGTATACTCTACAGTTATTTCTAAAGCACCCGCCCTAATCTCCTATCGAAGGCCAACTTACGATCCCTTCCAGTATGCAGCAACCACTCTGAAACCCCCTCATCTTTACGTTCCATCCCTCCGTGCCCAGGCTCGGCAAACTAATCATGGAGACCACTTTCTACCTTGTATACTCTACAGTTATTTCTAAAGCACCCACCCTAACTTCCTATCGACAGACCCAACTTACGATCCCTTCTAGTATGCAGCAACCACTCTGAAACCCCCTCATCTTTACGTTCCATTCCTCCATACCCAAGCTCGGCAAACTAATCATGGAGACCACTTCCCACCTCATAGACTCTACAGTTATTTCTAAAGCACCCGCCCTAATCTCCTATCGAAGGCCAACTTACGATCCCTTCCAGTATGCAGCGACCACTCCGAAACCCCCTCACCTTTTCGTTCCATCCCTCCATACCCAGGCTCGGCAAACTAATCATGGAGACCACTTTCTACCTTGTATACTCTACAGTTATTTCTAAAGCACCCGCCCTAATCTCCTATCGAAGGCCAACTTACGATCCCTTCCAGTATGCAGCAACCACTCTGAAACCCCCTCATCTTTACGTTCCATTCCTCCATACCCAGGCTCGGCAAACTAATCATGGAGACCACTTCCCACCTCATAGACTCTACAGTTATTTCTAAAGCACCCGCCCTAATCTCCTATCGAAGGCCAACTTACGATCCCTTCCAGTATGCAGCAACCACTCCGAAACCCCCTCACCTTTTCGTGCCATCCCTCCATACCCAGGCTCGGCAAACTAATCATGGAGACCACTTTCTACCTTGTATACTCTACAGTTATTTCTAAAGCACCCGCCCTAATCTCCTATCGAAGGCCAACTTACGATCCCTTCCAGTATGCAGCAAGCACTCCGAAACCCCCTCATCTTTAAGTTCCGTCCCTCCGTACCCAGGCTCGGCAAACTAATCATGAAAACCACTTTCCACCTCGTAGACTCTACAGTTATTTCTAAAGCACCCGCCCTAACTTCCTATCGAAGGCCAACTTACGATCCCTTCCAGTATGCAGCAACCAGACCACAAAGCCTCAGACTTTGCTCCCTGGTACCACGCCGTGCGGCTCTCCGACATGTCTTGCGTGCAAACACACCGGCCCTCCTTACAACCTGCCATTGAGAATTCCTCCGGCCCTTCAAAAGTGTCACAAATATTAGATAATGCTGCTCTCCAGCTAGTGAAGGCACATCTGAGATATCATAATGACCACTGTGCCCAGTTACGCCAAACGCTCACTGTCGCTAAGACTCCTCAAGTCCCTTGACTCATCTTTCGATTCACACTCATGCAAACTTGTTGACAAAATTCTGGAAGTCAACTCATATCTCTATGCCGATGGCCTCACCTGTAAATCAAGGAAATTATACACACCCTTGCCCCGAAATGATGAGGCTGCCATCCAACGCATCGATGATGTCACCATACGAGACGATTTACCCCTCACTGCCCCTGAACACGTTATCTTATCGAAGGGCCTGTCCTTCGTCCCTGCACTTCAAAGCCGACCTTAGCCTTTTTTGTTTTTACATGTGGACAGCGAACAATTCTTCTGATGCCTACTTTTAGATGCCCACTTCACCCAGCATCCGTTTAACTTTAATCGCACCATGTTCGACACCATTAACCCAAAGACTACTATCCGGACCCCGCTTCCCGCCAAACAGCCTGAAACTGACAGTTCAATCAAAGCATGTCGTAGCATCCTTGCCAACTCCTCTAGCAAACTAATCTCTAAATACCGCAACGCAACCCCACAAGAAGTTACCGCTCTAAACTCCCTTCGAAACCGCACCAACCTCGTAACCAAGCCAGCCGATAAGGGTGGAAACGTGGTGGTCTGCACTCTGTAACGCCTACCCCTCCCTCAAGTTTACCTCACCGATATCGAAATGCGCTGTCAACTTCCTAGACTTAAAAGTCACTAGCGACCGTCACAGGTTCCACACCTCTGTGCACTATAAACCCACTGACAGCCATAGCTACCTTCTTTACTCCTTGATCCATCCTAGATCCCAAATCAACTCTATTCCCTTCTCACAATTCCTTCGCCTCCATAAGATTTGCAGCGACGAAATCGATTTTCGTCTTTAAGACGATGACCGCCTTCTTTACTGAACGTAGTTACCCACTCGACCTTCTGCGCAATGCGAGCAGTTGCTTCTCCAACATTTCGTGGCACTGCTACTGCGACTCGCATCAATTCCGAGTGCTCTAGTGGGGCATGTCGGGCTGCTTCAACAACGAGCCGAAGCAGCTTCTATGGCTATGTGGCCTTTTCCTTTTCACTCTTGTCAGCTCAGCTGCACATTACTGCTTGTGCCGGCCCTTATACCACTGCTTCGTCGGCCTGTTCTGGTACTCGTGGCATCATCACTGACATTGCCTCTAGTCTCGGGTATCTTGGGGTCAACACCAGTGACAGCCTTGACGCTGGCTATTGGACTGTCATCGTCAGCCTCACACAATTATTTTATTGCTGCTTTTCTAGAAGGTACCTCACACAGGTTGCTTTCTGCGATACTTTTACACTGCACGTCTGAAAACAAATGAGGAGAATGTCACAAAAATGGCCACGGTTGCAAGAAGCTGCCACTTATTTAGAGACAGTGATCCCAGGAAGTTGTAGATTCCTCTGTAATGTAGCCAGCTCACTACTTTGCCTACTTCTATGGTGGCCCCCAGCAGCAGATGTTTTCTGGAACACGTAAATATCTCAAGTAGCAACTGTGCAGCAACTGTATTCGATGTATATATGCAATGCCTTATTAAACAATTTTTAGGATGTTTTGGAATAAAATTGTGCACCTATCATGTAAACACACGTAGCATATTTCGCTTTGAAACAGTATGGGATTATCCAACATCAAAGAAAGCTAGAAATAGAAACATTGAGAGACTGACTTCACGCAGCATTTCTTTTTATTTCTTTTTGGAGGATGTCAATGGGAATGTAAAAGCCGGTCAAAAGTCAGGGTGACGAATACCTACACTACGTTTATTAGAACAGGGCATTTACAAGATTTGTACAACTTAAAGAAAAGTTTGAGTTTGGGGAACTCTGTTTACCCGAAATGGCATTTAGGTTAAATGCCATTTGAGTTGCCGTGTGGCAGTGCCTAAATGACATTTACACTGAATGTCATTTGGCGTAAATGCCATTTTAGCTGCCGTCTGACAGGGGTATTAGACGGCTTTCTTAGCTACTCCTGCGAGTTGGGTCACGTGACAATAAGGCTGGAGGAATCAACTAGAACAACCAGTGAGAACAACTCTAGAAACGAGTAGGTTTTTGGACGCCGAGGGTCGGAAGTTCAACTCTCGAGTAAGATCGAGCACATTTTGGAATACAACACAACTGCGGCCTGTTGTGTGAACGTCATGGTGAACGTGAACGTTGCTTTTCGATTGTGGTAGCTGTCATTGGGCGCGTTCAGTAGAGGCCCCGGAGTCAAGGAGTCACTGACTCCTTCCACTAGACGGCCAAAAGTCACTTCCGGTGCACGTAACTCCGGGGCTTCGGAGTCAAGCTCCGAAGCACCGAGTCCGGAGACGGTGCACGTAGAGTCAAAGGAGCTAAAGATGGCGTCATTTCCTGACTGGTGACGATTTCCGGGGAATTCGGCGGGAATATCCAGAAAAGGTTTCGAATTCTCCCGTGCGTCTGCTGCCATGGCTGCATCGATGACATCCACTGCGTCCGAAAGCCCCGTTTATCTGGTTGAAAGCGACGACGGTAAGGGACAACTCATGCGCTAACGTTCCGTCTCACCTCCTTATGTTTCATTTCGTGTTGAAAATAAGAACCTCTCCGTATATGTCGTTTTTTTCTTACAGGACGCTGCACTACTCCTCTCTATATTAGTATCGGTGAGTACCTCCATATTTCGCTGATCGCATTCTTGCATTTGAAATTGACATCGCTCATTTAAATTGTCGGCGAAAATTAGTTGTCGGTGAGTGTGAGCGTTGCGCGACAAACGCGAGCCATCGCCGATCGGCATTTTTCACTCACTTTATACTGCAGCCCAATTCCGCTTGCGCACGGCCGCTGCATTTCTATCGATATTTTGGTAGAGCTCAGCTAGATACTTCCACCGCTCAAGCGCTATTGTTGCTGTGGGCCTTCCTTGTATCGAAGTGCGAGCCACTTCCCCTTGCACTAACAAACAATCATTTGATCATGCTTCTTGTTTTGATCACATCTTCATAAACTTCGCTAGCGTGCACATTCTGTCGTGTGAATATGCATTGCAGTGTGTTACGTAAAAGTGCTGTAATGCAACTGCTTTCCCTTGTTGACAACTTCGCAATTTTTTTTTTGTTTATAGTCAGTGGTCATCAGGAGTTGGACCCGCAGCCATGTAGCAGCAGGGAGTGCGACGGTATGAATCTCACATATAGCTTGGGTTCTGAAGGGAATTTCTAAAAGCCAAAAATATTCTCTCGTGTGAAAAGACTTAGCTTCTTTCTGGCCTAAAAAGGCTGTTAGCAGCATGCCGGCTGTCACTCTCTGGCTTCCAGGAGGCTTGAAGTCCTTCCTGCCAGTGTTAACTAACCTCGTGTTTTGTCTATAGTTGCATGTAATGGGGCTTTGATGATTGCTTGGCCTCCCCGGCATCGCCTACAGCTGTATATATAAGGTTTGGTGTTTAAAGGGTCATGAACTGATAACCTTAATAATTACATTTGATGTTTTGGACATTTTAGATCATGAAGGAAGCCCTGATGAGGCTGGTGAAGGAGGGGCATGGTCCCGCAGCGAGGTGTTGTTGCTGATTTCACTTTATGAAAAGTACTATGCTGACTTCAACAACCGAAAGTTGAAGAAAAGAACAGTGTGGAGGAAGATCAGTGTAGAAATGAAAGAAGCTGGTGCCCACAGATCGCCAGACGACTGCGAAAACAAATTCAAAGGTTTGAAGCGGACTTACACTAGAAGGCGGCAAGATAAAAGGAAGACAGGACGAGGGCGCAAGGATTGGGAATTTTATCAACATATGGACAACCTTTTCCAAGATACGGCCGAGTACACTGCCCCGGTGTGCACGAGCATGCCGGTCGTTCCTGCAGCCTCAGTCACCGAGTCCCAAGTCATCATCCCAGCCAGCACAGGGCCGTCAGCCACCACCACAGCTCTAGCCATTGCCATGCCCTCCCAAGCCGGCGCTGTGTATCCGCAGAGCGCACAGACTCCAAGGTCAACGAGGCAGCCTGAGCTCCCGCAAGCAAGGAGGAAGAGGCCGGCTGCAATCCTGGGAGAAATCCTTGAAAGGATGGACGCATGGGAACAAGAAGACAGGCAGCGGTACAGGCAGCAGCTGAAGCTGCAACGTACTAAGCTCCGACTGCTGAATCGCCTTGTATGTCAATCTAAACAGTCTCAGCAGCCTTAAAGGGATGCTGAACCGAAATTTAGAGTTCGGAAAACAATGCAGAAGCTGCAGACGGGACGCTACAATCCCTACAACACTACTCGGAAGGCGATATCTCGAATCGACAGCCGTATTTTTGGAAAAAAAGTCGAGATTGAACAAGGCCGATGAGGCACGTGACGTCAAGATATCTCGTTTCCTCCTCTCTTCGTTTCGCTGCCTCAAGGCGGCGAGGCAGAGAAGACTCGAGGTCGTTTCCTTTTCTCGATTCTTCTCGGAGAAACAAGACGTCAACATACGTGTCAAATGTGCCTCCTTGTTTTTATAAAAATATGGTCATCTGTTCGAGATATCGCTGTATGAGTGATGGTTTGGTGTTTGTGGCATCCTGTTGCACGCTTCTCGCCGCTGTATTTTGTGGAATCCAGATTTCGGTTCAGCATCCGATGCTGAACCGAAATTGGATTCTACAAAACACGGCGGCAAAAGCGTGCAACAGGATGCTGCAAACACCAAACCATCACTCATACAGCGATATCTCAAACAGATGACCATATTTTTATTAAAAAAAAAGGAGGCGCATTTGACGTGTATGTTGACGTCTTGTTTCTCCGAGAAGAGGGAACAACCTCGCGTCTTCTCTGCCTCACCGCCTTGAGGGGGTGACGCGAAGAGAGAAGGAAACGAGATATCTTCACGTAACGCGCCTTGTCGGTCGTCCATTCGAGATATCGCCTTATGAGTGGCGTTGTAGGGATTGTAGCATCCCGTCTACCGCTGCTGCATTGTTTTCTGAAATCCAAATTTCGGTTCACCACCCTTTAAAAGGTACACCGAAGGGGTTGGTGCTTACGTCATTTTATAGCTCTAATTTATTCTCTGTGCTCCAAGGATTCAAGAAATCTAGAAACTGTTGTTACACGTGCCCCACTTCAATATAAAAAATGAGATGTTCGTTAGAAATCTGACAAAAATGCTGCAGAGGGGTGAAGGGGCAAAAATGAATTAGTGAAACCAAGTGAAACACGCTTGGTTCATGCCTTGGGCCTGCAAGTCAGCTGTAGACAAGATCTTTTCATAGTCGCCGTGCCCATTTATTCATGTGACCTCGAAAGTCATTTTGCTTAGACTAAATGCTCTTCACAATGCTCCACTAGTTCTTCTTAGCTCCTCCTTTTTTCCCTCGAGCCATTCTTGTTGACAGTTTGGCTTTGAATGCGTGTAATGCAGAAGGACGCTATAAATTTCTCGATTTCTAGGATCCTTGGAGCAGATGCACGAAACCAGAGCCACAAAAAGCAAAAGTTAAAAACCTCTTCAGTCCACCTTTAAATTTCACTTGTCATGGTCATTTAGTGTGTCGTTCTGCGGCATGAAAAGAAAGTATAGCAAAATGCTAACCTTACTAGTCAGGCCAACTGGAACAAGCATTTTCGTACTAAACCTTAAGAGCTGCATATATTGTTTGTAACAGTTAATGTTTCTTTTTACAGTTTTCTTTTGCAGAAGCATGCCAGACTTGTCTGTGTTTCGAGTTGCTGGAAAGTACAAATACAGTAGTAAACAAAAAGTAGATTCATAGTTTTTGCTACATTTTGGTTGCTGTCTGTACACTTCATTTAGTTCTTACTGGTCATTTTGCGAGTTGTTTTTTTGGAAAATAAATGAGCATTACTTTAGGCAAATATCGGTGCATTCTTATGTTATTAAGTACAGTTTGGCTTCTGGACAAGTGAAATTTCTAAGCTATACCAGAGTCCTGGCTATACATTCCCCCTACATGAATGATTTTCTGATCCCAGATGCCACTGCGTTCATGTTTCTCTGTTCTTGAGATCCGACCACGGGCCTGTGATTTTTTTATATTGTGACAAGTTCTAGTCAACTTTTAAGGTTTTTGAACTTAATAAATACCATTGCTTGAATCGTTTTGTGCAAAGCTGTATCACTTGTGTCTGTCTTGTTCCAGGCATTACAGTATTATTGTTATATTGGACGTTCTGAGTGACTCAGTTCCAAAAGGAAAGTCCAAGCGTACGCTCAAGATACATTATTCTGAAATAGTTACTAAGGATGGGGAGAAGTATATTGCCTGCATGTACAAATATTGCTAAAATATGTTTTAACTGGGGACAACCTACATTCAGGCACTATAATATTGATGGGCACAGGTTGCAAGCCACCAGTTCATTTGTGCCAATTTTTTTATTTTGTCTGCATTTGGTGGTATTTTAATTCGCAAAACTTTTGCAAAAGAACTTGTGGAGTAACAATGTGAATATGTAGCTCTAATAAATCGTAATAAGGGCATAAAAGACAGGAAAAAGCAGGAGGGGGAAACATTGGTAAAACTCTCCAAAAAGTATACTCGAGCAACAAAAAATGTGTTCTAGTCAATTGCCTTATTATTGACCGATTTTATCAATTTAGTTTTGCTAAAGGTTGAGAACCGAGGAGCTGAAGACATACAGTGGTCTGTAACATGGCAACCTCATTCTTCAGGTGCATGCAGGGTGCAGCAAGCTAGCGATTGCGTCGCGTTTAGCTTTTGCAGCGGAAGGCGCTCTTGTCATGTCTGGTTGTTTGCGCACCAGGCATGGATCCTCTAGTTCCTCCGTGCAAAGAACAAAGGGCTTTGCAGACGTGAGAATGACATTATGAAGAACGCACGCCGCCATCACAAACATGGGAACCATGTTAAGGTTGTCCATGTCCAGGTGTTTCAGACGTCGAAACTTTCCTTTCAATTGGGCAAAGGCCCGCTCTATCACTGACCGCGAGGCACCTAATGTTGTGTTGAATTTACTTTGTCTCCTCGTTAGATGCCCATTGTCCCTGTAAGGACGCATCAGGTTCACCCCGAGGGGATAAGCGGAGTCGCCGAGGATGTGGAGGTCCTCGGGAAGGGCGCTAAGAATGTCGTCTAAGCCAGAATTGGTGAGGATGCGTGCATCGTTCATCCGGCCCGGGGACCCCACATGCACGTGTGTAAACACCATCCTGCTGTCGCAGCAGCCTTGGAGCACAACGGAGTGGAACTCCTTCCTGTTGTAGAAAGCAGACTGCTCTTCTTTGGGAGCCTTGATAGAAACATGGCACCCGTCCACGGCACCCACAACGCCTGGGAGCCTCCACTTCCGTTCGAACTGGCTGGCCACCTGGGCAAGCTGCGTGGGCCACTGTATTACAGAGGGTGCACACCGTGCCCATACCAACACAATCTCGTAGACCACGAAGTGGAGGGTGCTCTTGTGTACACCAAACCTGTCAGCGACGCCACGGTACGATTCCTGATTTCCTAAGAGCCACAACGTCATGAGGACCTTGGTGGCTGTTGGCACCCGGACTCCAATGGTCTTGGCTAGGTTAGGTTCAGTTAATTGGAGCAAGACCTGGAATGTGTGGAACCGAACATTTAATCAATGAAAACAAGAAATACAATGATGTGATTGGCTCGAGCCATTTTGGAGCAGCAGAAAGAACTTTTAAAGCAGGCATATACCTATACCCTATTTTCATTGATTCTACTCTGACGAGGAGAGAGAGTGCTAGCATTATTGAAGCTAGCACTCAATAGTGTGAATTGCAGGGCAGATAATCTAATTGCCCAGAACACGCAATTGGCTCTTTAGTTTGGGTTAGTAGCACAGTCACGAAACAAAAATGTTGTCACGAACTATCTTTTGTTTAGAAATTCCAGCCACTGTTTTTATTACCAGTAGATTTACACAAAACGCAAAATCGCCATGTGAGAAGATAAATATTTATTGTAAAAGGAAACAAGGGTTACAGGGCTCAACTTATAAAGATGAATTCCCCAGCTTGCACTCAAACACTGCTAACGCTTGCTTGGCTTTACGCTTAATAGCCACAAAGAAAATATTTTTCTTTTAGCTCACTAGGGACGAGCGCGTGCGCTATCTCGCCCTGAGGGAGTGTTTTTCCCTCAAGTACGCAGCTGCGCTACGGCGAAGCACCCTTCAAAGATGGGCTTGTGTCACTCCTTGTCTCGTTTGGTTATTTTTTCTACGTGATATATCGTGACTCTTCATCGCTATGATATTTTAATATTTCAACACAAGCCCATCACGCCTTAAACATTATTAAAATTTTCCCCTGAGTGGCCAGACAGAAATCCAGACCTCCCGCGCTGTATTTTTGTACTATATTCCGAACATATGCTTGTGGGGTTACCTCGAACGTCGAACGGTGCATCCTGAAATGCTCCTTGAATTGGGTATCTGTGTAGCGAGGGACAACATCAGAGACAAATCCCTCAATCCCCCGGATACGGTCGGAGTCCGACGGTCTAGCGGGATCTGCGGAGTGTGTAGAGAGACACTGTCACGATTATGTCGGCCATCATCATGCATGCTTACCTTCACAAATGACTTCTTTGAGGGCTCCAAGCACCTCGGTGACTCTTCGTCGCTTGGTTCGCCTCTGCGCCTCCATGAATTCTTCAAAATCATCTTCCAAAACAACTTGGAGAAGCGCGTTGGCGGCGTTGTCGTCTGCTGCCATAGCGCGCGCTTTTTTTTTCTTTTTTTTTTTCTTGGGCAGGATGTTCGCGCGCGAATTTGACGGAAACGGAAATGCGCAAACACTCGGCCGCGCGGCGGCGCAAGCGGCGCCCTTATTTCCCGTCTAGTAGGCGCTCTGAGGGCTCTGACTCGAGTTACTCTGTCCGGAGACGAAGGAGCCGCTACTGAACGCGCCCGATGTTGTTTATCCGCGCGTTATGACGAAAAGCTGGATGTAAAAGTGTCCATATTTGAGTTTCTGCAAGGGTGACTACGAAAGCGTGGACTACACAGCGAATCGATGGGAAGATCTCGCTCCTTGACGGCATGGCAGGGTGAGAACTTTTTGACTGTTATGATCGTGGTTTCGTTTCTTGTTTTTACTTTTCGCTGCATGCATGCTTGGGAGTGATTTGGTTGCGGCCTGCCTGGAAGCAACATATTCAAATGCTGGCGCTACTTGTAGGTACAGAACTAAATAGAAATGACTTGATTTATGAGTTCAGGTTGGAATGTTTTCGCAAGGTATGCAAGTGATAGGTTATCGCGGTTGCAACCAACACATCAATTAAAAAAAAACAAAAAACAACAGAAGTACATTGTGTCGTTTCTGCGTATCCTCATCGGAGCGCAGAAATGATCCGCTAAAACTAACTAGTACGATCTATATTTTAGCGGGTCTCTGAGCTGTAGTTTGGAGTGCACGCAAGCCGGAATATGGTTCATTGATCAGTTTACTTATCCATACACCAGAGCCGTATACTAACACCCACAGGCTCCCCAAGGAATCCCACCACAAACCAGGAAGCTATTATATTATTATTATTATTATTTATTATTTTCTCTGCCTGGTTTTATGTGCTCGTGCAATAAGCATTATTATTATTATTATAGCGCATTCGGAACATCAAATTCAAGAATAATTTTGATGTTTGTGATCCAAAATACCAGATCGAAACACTGCCAGTGTTTTTTTCTCAAATACGGAACCACTTCAGCTTAAAGAAGAGCATTTTTTTTTTATAATAATTTTTGATTACATTACCTTTCTTTGGATTAATATGATTTCCTCCTTTTTCGTTCTATTTCCCACAGAAGCGGTCAAATACACATCCCGGATACTGCTTCTGTACGGCCTCCATGGGACAAGGTGAAAACTGACACCTTAGAAGAGTGCTTCGGAATGTATAGGCAACTGGCTTGCTTCTAATATCACGTGTCTACAAGGCATATTTACGAAGATGAGAAAAAAAAAACACTGCTGTGGAGCACAATGTCAACGATCACTACAGCTAGCAAGGATGGAAACGAGAAAGATCTTCCCAAGCGAGCGGATTCTTGACGCCCCACCTGCAACGTGGTATACATGCAATGTGACCCTGGGCTGTAAAAAATAAGACACAGCCTCCCAGCCTTGGGCTATGTGGCCAGCCCTGCAGTCTACACCACCTTGAAAAACCCAAGGGGCGAAAAATGCAAGGCCGCATCGACAGCACGAAACAAGTTGGCTACAGTTTGCTTGCACAGGAAGACTGTGCTGTTGTAAGTGCTGTAGAACACATTTATGCTGTTCACCAATTGGTGATGCCCGGCCAGTGCCGACTTGTTACTTATCTCATAATGGAACTACTCGCCAAGAAAAAAGACTTCCGACTGTGAAAATTAACGTACGAGTGAGCTCATTTTAAAACACGTGTTGTTGTCGCAAGAAAATGCCCAAGCATTTTCTTGCGACACGTTTGCAGCAAAATGAATGTTCACATTGATGCCAAGAATTCCAAACAAAAGAAACGGACAGCTGAAACTCTGCAATCAAAGACACTCGCTGCCAACCGTCACGGATGTCAAGAAGCAAGCTCAGACCAAGGAAGAGTATGTCTGACGCCTGGGGTGATGAACCCATCGTGGGTTCGAGCTGAAGCATGCGTTGGACTGCAGTGAAAACATTCAACTGAGAAACCTTTGTTGCAAGGTGACGACAATATAAATGCCAGTGGAGCATCTAAAAAAAAAAAAAAAAAAGCTAAGGGGCCAAGGTTGAACAAATTAGTTCCTGTCTGGCCAGCAACATGCTTGCGCTTCATCCTCATGCAAAGGCAACTGCTCTCTGAAGTTGGTGAATCTGTGTGTGTGTGTGTATGTGCAGATAGTCGGTGTCCTTCTAGCAGTCTTGGGTATCTTGTGGTGCTACACCGTAAATGCTAGCATGCTGCACAGCTATTGTGTGTCTCGGTGTCACAAAATCTACAGCATCTAAGATGCATGAGTTAATGTCCTCCCGGTGGTGTGAGGGAGGCAGGTTCCGCTTCGATGGTCTGGAGCGTGGTGGCACGAACGTCGCTGAGTGACGGGTCGACTCACTGCTTGAATAGACCTATGTGCATTTATTTACACTCTAGTTACAAGTCCCAACTTGGGAGACCATCCCGCCTCGTCTAAAATCTCGACCCCCGTCCCCAATTTCTCTCCATCAAATCCAAAGTCCGAATTCCTCAAAATCCTCTCCGCGCTCCTTTTGTAGGCCCGTAGGGGCCTCCTTTCCCCTCAGGAACCGACCAATCTCTTCAAATTCCGCCACTCACACGTGGTACACTGTTCTCCAATGGTCGGCGAGCTGTCATTTTGACGTCCTAACCGCCAAACCCAAACTCCTTGTAGAGTTGTTCTCTGCTATTTTCCCAGCCTGACTGGCGCCAACCGCTAAGTTATTGCATCGGGCAAAAAGCGACAATTTTATACAAAGCGGCAAAACCCTCTGCATACACGCACATTCGGCTATAAGCCACAAGCATCTTCCAGCGCGGGCTCTTTCGGTCCCGGTCCGAGCAGACCCCCGAAACCCGAGACGCTTCTTAACGACCGGCGGGGGGGACCGCTCCCGCGTCGCGGCCGCTCTGGCCCCGCCGACCCAAACGTAGAAAGCTAAAAAAAAACACAATGCCGACGCAACTCTGGAAAGATAAACTTTCCTAACCAAAAGAAAACACCTTAATAAATAAGCATGATTTCTATATACTTAACTGCATGTGTATAAATGTTTTTCAAGACGGATATTTTCAGAGCCTATGGATACCAGGAGGCTCGTTTCGCAGTGTTCAAAGGTGACCAGTTTCTTATTTATAACTCTTCTGTATTGTAAATTCAAGCAACTTTGAATATGAGGCTCCCATGCCCACTCCTGTTTGTGTACAAAACTTGTTTTTAGCCGCCCTAACTGTGTCGTTTCACAGACTCGGTACTGTTGAAGTACATCAGCGTATGGGGCAACGCTCGGGTATTACGGTACTTTTTTTGCAAATATAAAGTTTTCACATTATGACATTGCCAAGAAATAGGTCACAGGTGTTTTTTCGATGTAGTAACCAGATACGTTGCTTGCTGCAATACAAGTACTATATTTGAACTGGCAGAGTGTATTGAATTGCTGAACCTATGCAGGTTTATCACAGGTCTAAGAAATGTTTGTCAAAATAAGTGCAATACATTTTTCAAACCAGCACATCACAATTTTAGAACTTTTATACTTGTCTGGCAATTCGCGTCCCGTTGCTGTTGCACCAGGTATCCCTAAGGCTAGTGTACTCGAGCCTCTATTTTTTCTAATATATATCAATGACCTATCATCAATTAAATCGACAATTAGACTTTTCGCTGATGCTCGAGTTTTTTACCGGAAAATTAATACACCTATAGTGATCACAATATTGTCCAAGACGATTTAGATACAATATCATGATAGTGTTCCCTATGGCAGATGAACATTAACAGATGTAAGTGCAAAGAAATATCCATAATTAAGACCTCCACCAAAAAACTAACCCAGTACCCGTTACTTTCCCAACCACTAGAACACTCATTGTCGTACAAGTATTTGGGCATGTATTTTACAGACTCATTATCATTGATTGAGCAAATAACAAATAGTGCACTAAAAACACTTAATTTGTGAAAACGCCATTTGTATGAGAAAATGTTTGTGTTTAGTAAACACATGGATGATACAAGATACATAATAACCATATAAGAACTGTATTAGAACTATATAAGAAACTTCTTACAAGTTTCTTATATAGTTTTAATCTAGTTCTTATGTGGTTCTTATAGGGCTCTTATATGTTCTTATATATCTTTTATGATTCATATGTGTTTGTTGGACACAGAAATTTCTCATACAAATGAGATTTTTCAGTAAGCATTAAGACGAAACTACTCGCATACAAAACATTTATCCTCCCAACATTCGAATGTGCAAGCATAATTTGGAACCCACGCATAAGTTACCTAATCTCGAGGCTCGAATCTTCAGAACAAAGCAGCCAGATTTATATGCAGTGATTATTCTTCCGAAACTAGTGTCTCCGCTTTAAAAGCTAGCATAAATGTTCCTAATCTATAAAGAAGACGAAAAATAGCCCGATTTTGTTTTTTTAATTTTTTTTTCTCAAGATGTATATTACTCAGATTCCAGTTTTCAATCTACTTAGTGCTGGGCTGCCAATTTCATATTATCCATATTAGATGATTCCTACAAGATTGAACCATTTCAGTGCCGTACTTACACTTTCCTCTTTCCTTCCTTAGTACTTTGCAACGCTGACTAGAACCAACTACCTGACCATATTGTAACTAGGGGTGTCGCGAACTTTTGTCGAACCGGATTTTTAGGTCGAACTTTCGTGGTTCGACTGGGTCGAACCGGTTCGACGAACCTTCGAAACTTTTCACCAGATTCGACCAGTTCGACTTTGCGGACAGTGTGGCCAGACCTTGATAGATGCATGTCTAGGTTTGGAGAATTTATTTTTATGCAAATGGTTATTTTATTTTATGAACGGTTGGAATTAAAAGAAACCACTTTTATTCACTAAAGACGTTAATAGCTTAATTTTTTTTGTACTGTATAAACCGAAATAACCAACCAGCGGTGCCCTTAATTCATCCATTAGCCATTACCATCCAATCCGAAGCCAACTGGCCAGCCTGTCGCGCATGCGCACACGAGTCGAACCTCAATACAAGGTTCGTCGAAATTTCCACGAAAAGTTCGAAAAAGTCGAACCAGGTCGAACTCGAACCTCGGCCGGTTCGCGACACCCCTAATTGTAACTGAGAGATATCCCATTTCATTTAAAAAGAAGGGCATCAATTTGTGTAATTGAACTTTGATTTGTAAAACTGCATTATAACAATAACATGCTAATAAGCGTTTTTTGTGTGTGTGTGAAATTTTTTTGTTGGTATTTATTTTTTATATTCAGTTACGTTTTTGTCTATTTTTGAATCCCCCCTGATGTTATGCGTCTTTGGATGCTTCCGAGCTGAATAAAATTAAATGAAATGAATGCCTCTGCAACGTTTATCCAATTGTTACTTTAGGTCATTTTATCTGGTCCTGCTACTTCGATTATTGTCATTCGATAGGGATTCTTTTTTTTTTTATGTAACTCCCTTGTCGTTCAGAGATAATTACACCACCCAGTTTATCGCTTAAAAAATAACACATCTGTCTCAAGATATCACTTTCTTGTATTTCACTACAATAATTATAGGTTATAATAATTTTCCTGCGTTCTAAAATTGGTTATTTAAATCACTCGGCGTTCACAGCTCTCATGTTAGCTCATAAAAAATAAATACAGCGAAAACCCGCGTTTCTACGACGTAAAAGCTACGCGCGAACCCTTAGCTCAGCTCTATACACGTTTGCAAGTCCGGCTTCAGGGCGCTGCCATCTTGCCGGTCTGGGGTGCGCTTGGACCAGTCATAATCCGATTACGAAGCCTTGCTAAGGCGTCGTAATCGGATTATGGCCGCTCCCGAGAGCGCACCCCACTGAGGAAGATGGCGGCTCCCTGAGACCGGACTTGCAAACGTGTATAGTGTGGCGCTCGTCAGCCTGCTGCCGTGACGTCACCGGAGGCGTGTGCTGGCCTTCTCCTCTAGGTGGTGTTGCAATAGCCCGGTGCTTTTGAGACTGCAAGATTTTTAATGTTTCTATAAATGTCAATTATTAAATGAGCAAGGCACGAAAACTAGCTGATGTCCATTGTCAGCACTGGTAAAAAAACTACTGAACTCCTAAAAAAAAGTTACACTTCTTTTTATAGCATTGCGCACATTTTAACCAATCTGTTAAATAGTGTATATGTGTGCTGTCAATAAACACCTACAACCTTCTGAAGCACTATTAGTTTGCTTATTACCTCCATGTAAAACCACAATATGCAAACCATTGTGGTCAAATATTTTATTTTCAACAAAGAAACAGAATGAAAAATAATGAACTTCACTACATCTTGCAGGTCAAAGGCGTGGCTGAAGTAGGATAAAAAAGACGACCTTCTGCAAATATCATACACTGAGCTACAGGCGAAGTATTTTGTTTGCAGCAGTCACTTCACAGCGCGTGACTTCATGAACCCTGGGCGGACAAAGCTAATGAAAACCGCTGTGCCTTCAGTTCGCCCATCGACATGTCCAGATCCTAAAAGAGCTAGAGATAAAGATTTTTTTAACTATCCATATAGAAGTATATTACTTATGTAAACTTTGTTTAAACAATGCTGCTTCTACAGCTTCACTCACAATCTAACTTCTAATGGACAAAACTCTTCCAGACTCCATGGAAGCAACAGCCCCACCATGCGGCGCAGACCCGATGGAGGCTACAGCCCCATCATGCAGTGCAGCCTCCAGCTTCCGGCCCAAGGAACCCTCAACTGCTGCCCATGGTGAGGAAAGGCTTGTGTTGGAAAGAACAGCCTGCGTCTAATAGACAAGCTCTTCTAGACTCCATGGAAGCGGCAGCCTCACCGTGTGGCGCAGACCCCGTGGAGGCTACAGCCCCATCGTGCAGTGCAGCCTCCAGCTTCCGGTCCAAAGAACCCTCAACCACTGCTCATGGTGAGAAAGGACTTGTGTTGGAAACAACAGCCTGCGTCTAATAGACAAACTCTTCCAGACTCCATGGAAGCGGCAGCTGCCTCACCGTGCGGCGCAGACCCCATGGAGGCTACAGCCCCATCGTGCAGTGCAGCCTCCAGCTTCCGGCCCAAAAAACCCTCAACCGCTGCCCTTGGCGAGGAAGGACTTGTGTTGGAAACAACAGTCTGCGTCTAATAGACAAGCTCTTCCAGACTCCATGGAAGTGACAGCCCCGCCGTGCGGCGCAGACTGCATGGAGGCTACAGCCCCATCGTGCAGTGCAGCCTCCATGCTTCCGGCCCAAAGGCCCCTCAACCGCTGCTCATGGTGAGGAAGGACTTGTGTTGGAAACAACAGCCTGCGTCTAATAGACAAACTCTTCCGACTCCATGGAAGCGGCAGCCTCACCATGCGGCGCAGACCCCAGGAGGCTACAGCCCCATCGTGCAGTGCAGCCTCCAGCTTCCGGCCCAAAGAACCCTCAACCGCTGCCCTTGGCGAGGAAGGACTTGTGTTGGAAACAACAGTCTGCGTCTAATAGACAAGCTCTTCCAGACCCCATGGAAGTGACAGCCCCGCCGTGCGGCGCAGACCGCATGGAGGCTACAGCCCCACCGTGCAGTGCAGCCTCCAGCTTCCGGCCCAAAGAACCCTCAACCGCTGCCCTTGGCGAGGAAGGACTTGTGTTGGAAACAACAGTCTGCATCTAATAGACAAGCTCTTCCAGACTCCATGGAAGTGACAGCCCCGCCGTGCGACGCAGACCGCATGGAGGCTACAGCCCCATCGTGCAGTGCAGCCTCCAGCTTCCGGCCCAAAGAACCCTCAACCGCTGCCCATGGTGAGGAAGGACTTGTGTTGGAAACAACAGCCTGAGTCTAATAGACAAACTCTTCCAGACTCCATGGAAGCAGCTGCCTCAATGTGCGGCGCAGACCCCATGGAGGCTACAGCCCCATCGTGCACTGCAGCCTCCAGCTTCCGGCCCAAAGAACCCTCAACCGCTGTCCATGGTGAGGAAGGACTTGTGTTGGAAACAACAGCCTGCGTCTAATAGACAAACTCTTCCAGACCCCATGGAAGTGACAGCCCCGCCGTGCGGCGCAGACCCCATGGAGGCTACAGCCCCATCGTGCAGTGCAGCCTCCAGATTCCGGCCCAAAGAACCCTCAACCGCTGCTCATGGTGAGGAAGGACTTGTGTTGGAAACAACAGCCTGAGTCTAATAGACAAACTCTTCCAGAATCCATGGAAGCGGCTGACTCACCGTGCAGCGCAGACCCCATCAAGGCCATCGTGCAGTTCGCCGCTGGAGCTCCGACCGGTGACACCGTCCACATCCTCTTGTGAACCAGTTGAAGCTTGTAAGTGTCCCATTTCTTTTGTTCACCTGTGTGCCCATATGGTACTACTCATATAAATAAAATTTGTGTGTGTCAAGGTGGATTTTAGTTTGTCTACTTCTCCGGTGATGGGCTTTTCATGCAAAACCTGTAATACACCTTATGTACTGTGGTGTGAAGGCGTAGGGTGGCAATTTGTAAATTTAGCCAACATAGCTTCAAACGCCCAGTTTCCCCTGATTTCTGATTGTCTGTAGTTTAAGGGCATATTATCTAGATTAGTGTCGTGATGTAGGCGAGTTGGTTCATGGTAACGGAAATAAACAGCGCGCAAAAAATACACAGGACGAAAGGAAGGTGTGAACGACACAAGCGCAGAACTCACAACTAAACATTTATTGAAACAACACCAACGAAATAAACCGCACTGTCGCGTCAGCACGTGTCAAGATAGGCAATTTCTTTTTTGTGAAGAAAAACCGATGTTTGGCTGATGCATGCATCTTGCCCCTCTTTTGTTATTGCATACGCTTCCAATAATTCCCTGGTAGTTTTATTTGTGCCCCTCCCGATGATGGTGATGTTCTCCCGATGATGATGATGGTGATTATCTACTTGCAGATTATGTCACTGTAAGGTAATGTTGGCTGTGATGGTTATAAGCAGAACTGCTTACCTGCTTTGATTTCATTTTTTTTATCCGTTTCAGGTACTTCTACGCCTCCTCTGCGCAGTTTTGCGTCGAAAACGAAGGACATCATAAGGCGTCTCCAAGCCAAGGTTTCAAAGTACCGGAAGACCATCGCAAGGCTGCGCAAGCAAGAGAAGAATATGCCTCGATCAGCTTCGGAAGCTCTCGACATCATTCGCCCTCACGTGACAGACGAGTTATTTCACCTACTGTCAAGCCATGTTAAATTAATATCCAAGGGCAAGGGAAAACGATTCCCGTTATGGTTGAAAAAGTTTGCTCTTCATCTCGAATTCCGTGGACCGCGGAATTCGAGATGTTTTGCAGGATTCGATTATGATGAAAAATTTTTTGCAGGATTCAATTGTGCTGACATGTCCGTTTCGTAAATAGAAACTTGGATAAAGTTTCCTTTCATTCTCGCGTCTCTGGTGTACAGCTTGAAAAGTTCAGTGGGTAGGACTTCATTCTGGAGATGTGTTTCAGCCCTTATGTTGCATTTCATAAGATACCTGCAAGAGTAAAATTAATATTATTGGGATTTTATTGGGCCGTGCAGACTGCACACTAGGCATTTGTTGGGATTATTTGCAGCAAGTAGGTTGCATTCTACTGGTCTACTGTAGTGACTGCTTTTTTAGATGGTCGTGTCTGTGTTTCTCTATTATGGCCATGTGGAATGTGTAAGTTCCCATTTTGATCTTTTTTAATACTCTCTGAGGTCTTTCATCTTGGACGCAACTTTCTTTTCTTTTGGACATTGTTTCTGCTTTACACATATGTGAAGCGTGAAGGAGATTGAGTTCAGAGTGTCTACCAACCTGGGCAAGCTTGAAATTCTCAGGGAATTTTAGATCACCTGGAAAAGTCAAGGAATTATCAGGGAAACTGTCAAAAGGTTGACTAAATCAGGGAAAGTGACCGGTGAAAGTGGCACGGTGGTGCGGAACGAAGCCCGGCGATCGGGTGTCGCCACAGCTGTGCTGAATAACATTGCCCAAAATGGTATCCTTCGAAGGAAGAAACAGCCAAGGAATTTTATCAAAATAGTCAAGGAAAACCTTGAAAAATCATGGACTTTGGAAAAAGTCATCTGGTAGACACCCTGTAGGATGTACTTAATTAGGCAGTGCAGATTGCATGCCAAGCCTTTGCTGGAATCATTTGTGATGAGTGGGTCGCAGGTACACCGGTCACCAGTCTGCTTGTAGCAGTCTTTTGTCAGCCATTTCATATGTGCTTTTTATGGCAGTGGTTATGTTAAACCTTACATGTTAAATGTGAGATGTTAAACGTGACATGAACATAAAACTTGCATTAGTCCGTCGGTTGACATTCAGTTCTTGTTATTTTGATCATTATTGTTACTTAAATCAGCAGGAGCAAGGTATGTTTAATTGTGCATTGCACGCTGTGTTAGGGTTATTTAATGACTATGTCACAGACTAAATAGGTCTATACTAGTGGCAATCTCATTTAGGCATTTACTTGTCTGTTTTTGTTTTTCTTTTCTCATTGTGGTCATCGTGCATCTCAGAATTCTTCTGCTAAACTTTCTATTAGCATACAAAATGCATTGGATCAACGAGCTTTGATACTGCATGGCCATTTTTGTTTTTGTGTTTGTTGCTGATGCTGCATATGTTATATGTGTGTGTGCGCCTTCCATGGAACTTGCTTGAGAATACAAAACCGACTTTCAATCCAATTACAGTTGTAATTTCAGTTGTTTGGTAAGACTTTTATGCATGCCATAATATGCTTGTCGTTTTTTGTAGGATGTACTGTTTGTGAATCCTTGATACACGGTGCTTGTGTTCTGTAGTTTTTGTATTATATACGAGGCACTAACTGCCCATCATATTTCTTTTTTTGCGAAAATAAACTCTGTTGATTACTCCCTGGTGGTGTTCTTCTGGACAGCACAAACCTATATGGGTTTCCTGGCTTTAAAGTCAGTCTTAACCGTATATAGTATTGTCCATTAGTTGTCCGCATTAGGATTCACACATACGTGTGAAGTAATAATAGCAGAAATTCGGCATGCGGGAATAATAGGAAAATCATAAGTCGCGGCAAACCAGATGGCGCAGGCTACCGCCCAACGCACTACGCCAAACTAGATATCTATCCATCTGGTAAGTTTTTTTTTTTTTTTTTTTAATTGTGATTTTATTTATTCAATTTGGGATTACAACGGCCGCCGAGTGCGCTCCCTGCCAGCTAAATGGGCCGCTGGGGCCTATGGAAGTGTCCGCTCTTTACCTTGTGTAGATTAATGGGCTGGAGCAGCGAAAAATGTTTTCCCACGGTGGTTTTTAGGAGAAGCCAGCTTCCAGAGCAGGCTCGATCGAGAGCCCTATTAAGGCAAAGTCCACCGAAAAACATTTTCCCACGGTGGTTTTTAGGAGAAGCCAGCTTCCAGAGCAGGCTCGATCGAGAGCCCTATTAAGGCAAAGTTCACCGAAAAATATTTTCCCACGGTGGTTTTTAGGAGAAGCCAGCTTCCAGAGCAGGCTCGATCGAGCTTAGCTATATTAAGGCAAAGTTCAGCGAAAAAAATTTTCCCACGGTGGTTTTTAGGAGAAGCCAGCTTCCAGAGCAGGCTCGATCGAGCTTAGCCCTATTAAGGCAAAGTTCAGCGAAAAAAAAATTTTCCCACGGTGGTTTTTAGGAGAAGCCAGCTTCCAGAGCAGGCTCGATCGAGCTTAGCCCTATTAAGGCAAAGTTCAGCGAAAAAAATTTTCCCACGGTGGTTTTTAGGAGAAGCCAGCTTCCAGAGCAGGCTCGATCGAGCTTAGCCCTATTAAGGCAAAGTTCAGCGAAAAAAATTTTCCCACGGTGGTTTTTAGGAGAAGCCAGCTTCCAGAGCAGGCTCGATCGAGCTTAGCCCTATTAAGGCAAAGTTCAGCGAAAAAAATTTTCCCACGGTGGTTTTTAGGAGAAGCCAGCTTCCAGAGCAGGCTCGATCGAGCTTAGCCCTATTAAGGCAAAGTTCAGCGAAAAAAATTTTCCCACGGTGGTTTTTAGGAGAAGCCAGCTTCCAGAGCAGGCTCGATCGAGCTTAGCCCTATTAAGGCAAAGTTCAGCGAAAAAAATTTTCCCACGGTGGTTTTTAGGAGAAGCCAGCTTCCAGAGCAGGCTCGATCGAGCTTAGCCCTATTAAGGCAAAGTTCAGCGAAAAAAATTTTCCCACGGTGGTTTTTAGGAGAAGCCAGCTTCCAGAGCAGGCTCGATCGAACTTAGCCCTATTAAGGCAAAGTTCACCGAAAAATATTTTCCCACGGTGGTTTTTAGGAGAAGGCAGCTTCCAGAGCAGGCTCGATCGAACTTAGCCCTATTAAGGCAAAGTTCAACGAAAAATATTTTCCCACGGTGGTTTTTAGGAGAAGCCAGCTTCCAGAGCAGGCTCGATCGAACTTAGCCCTATTAAGGCAAAGTTCAGCGAAAAATATTTTCCCACGGTGGTTTTTAGGAGAAGGCAGCTTCCAGAGCAGGCTCGATCGAACTTAGCCCTATTAAGGCAAAGTTCAGCGAAAAATATTTTCCCACGGTGGTTTTTAGGAGAAGGCAGCTTCCAGAGCAGGCTCGATCGAACTTAGCCCTATTAAGGCAAAGTTCAGCGAAAAATATTTTCCCACGGTGGTTTTTAGGAGAAGCCAGCTTCCAGAGCAGGCTCGATCGAACTTAGCCCTATTAAGGCAAAGTTCAGCGAAACAAATTTTCCCACGGTGGTTTTTAGGAGAAGCCAGCTTCCAGAGCAGGCTCGATCGAACTTAGCCCTATTAAGGCAAAGTTCAGCGAAAAATATTTTCCCACGGTGGTTTTTAGGAGAAGCCAGCTTCCAGAGCAGGCTCGATCGAGCTTAGTCCTATTAAGGCAAAGTTCAGCGAAAAAAAAATTTTCCCACGGTGGTTTTTAGGAGAAGCCAGCTTCCAGAGCAGGCTCGATCGAGCTTAGCCCTATTAAGGCAAAGTTCAGCGAAAAAAATTTTCCCACGGTGGTTTTTAGGAGAAGCCAGCTTCCAGAGCAGGCTCGATCGAGCTTAGCCCTATTAAGGCAAAGTTCAGCGAAAAAAAATTTTTCCCACGGTGGTTTTTAGGAGAAGCCAGCTTCCAGAGCAGGCTCGATCGAGCTTAGCCCTATTAAGGCAAAGTTCAGCGAAAAAAATTTTCCCACGGTGGTTTTTAGGAGAAGCCAGCTTCCAGAGCAGGCTCGATCGAGCTTAGCCCTATTAAGGCAAAGTTCAGCGAAAAAAATTTTCCCACGGTGGTTTTTAGGAGAAGCCAGCTTCCAGAGCAGGCTCGATCGAGCTTAGCCCTATTAAGGCAAAGTTCAGCGAAAAAAATTTTCCCACGGTGGTTTTTAGGAGAAGCCAGCTTCCAGAGCAGGCTCGATCGAGCTTAGCCCTATTAAGGCAAAGTTCAGCGAAAAAAATTTTCCCACGGTGGTTTTTAGGAGAAGCCAGCTTCCAGAGCAGGCTCGATCGAGCTTAGCCCTATTAAGGCAAAGTTCAGCGAAAAAAATTTTCCCACGGTGGTTTTTAGGAGAAGCCAGCTTCCAGAGCAGGCTCGATCGAGCTTAGCCCTATTAAGGCAAAGTTCAGCGAAAAAAATTTTCCCACGGTGGTTTTTAGGAGAAGCCAGCTTCCAGAGCAGGCTCGATCGAGCTTAGCCCTATTAAGGCAAAGTTCAGCGAAAAAAATTTTCCCACGGTGGTTTTTAGGAGAAGCCAGCTTCCAGAGCAGGCTCGATCGAGCTTAGCCCTATTAAGGCAAAGTTCAGCGAAAAAAATTTTCCCACGGTGGTTTTTAGGAGAAGCCAGCTTCCAGAGCAGGCTCGATCGAGCTTAGCCCTATTAAGGCAAAGTTCAGCGAAAAAAAAATTTTCCCACGGTGGTTTTTAGGAGAAGCCAGCTTCCAGAGCAGGCTCGATCGAGCTTAGCCCTATTAAGGCAAAGTTCAGCGAAAAAAATTTTCCCACGGTGGTTTTTAGGAGAAGCCAGCTTCCAGAGCAGGCTCGATCGAGCTTAGCCCTATTAAGGCAAAGTTCAGCGAAAAAAATTTTCCCACGGTGGTTTTTAGGAGAAGCCAGCTTCCAGAGCAGGCTCGATCGAGCTTAGCCCTATTAAGGCAAAGTTCAGCGAAAAAAATTTTCCCACGGTGGTTTTTAGGAGAAGCCAGCTTCCAGAGCAGGCTCGATCGAGCTTAGCCCTATTAAGGCAAAGTTCAGCGAAAAAAATTTTCCCACGGTGGTTTTTAGGAGAAGCCAGCTTCCAGAGCAGGCTCGATCGAGCTTAGCCCTATTAAGGCAAAGTTCAGCGAAAAAAATTTTCCCACGGTGGTTTTTAGGAGAAGCCAGCTTCCAGAGCAGGCTCGATCGAGCTTAGCCCTATTAAGGCAAAGTTCAGCGAAAAAAATTTTCCCACGGTGGTTTTTAGGAGAAGCCAGCTTCCAGAGCAGGCTCGATCGAGCTTAGCCCTATTAAGGCAAAGTTCAGCGAAAAAAAATTTTTCCCACGGTGGTTTTTAGGAGAAGCCAGCTTCCAGAGCAGGCTCGATCGAGCTTAGCCCTATTAAGGCAAAGTTCAGCGAAAAAAAAATTTTCCCACGGTGGTTTTTAGGAGAAGCCAGCTTCCAGAGCAGGCTCGATCGAGCTTAGCCCTATTAAGGCAAAGTTCAGCGAAAAAAAAATTTTCCCACGGTGGTTTTTAGGAGAAGCCAGCTTCCAGAGCAGGCTCGATCGAGCTTAGCCCTATTAAGGCAAAGTTCAGCGAAAAAAAAATTTTCCCACGGTGGTTTTTAGGAGAAGCCAGCTTCCAGAGCAGGCTCGATCGAGCTTAGCCCTATTAAGGCAAAGTTCAGCGAAAAAAATTTTCCCACGGTGGTTTTTAGGAGAAGCCAGCTTCCAGAGCAGGCTCGATCGAGCTTAGCCCTATTAAGGCAAAGTTCAGCGAAAAAAAAATTTTCCCACGGTGGTTTTTAGGAGAAGCCAGCTTCCAGAGCAGGCTCGATCGAGCTTAGCCCTATTAAGGCAAAGTTCAGCGAAAAAAATTTTCCCACGGTGGTTTTTAGGAGAAGCCAGCTTCCAGAGCAGGCTCGATCGAGCTTAGCCCTATTAAGGCAAAGTTCAGCGAAAAAAATTTTCCCACGGTGGTTTTTAGGAGAAGCCAGCTTCCAGAGCAGGCTCGATCGAGCTTAGCTATATTAAGGCAAAGTTCAGCGAAAAAAATTTTCCCACGGTGGTTTTTAGGAGAAGCCAGCTTCCAGAGCAGGCTCAATCGAGCTTAGCCCTATTAAGGCAAAGTTCAGCGAAAAAAAAATTTTCCCACGGTGGTTTTTAGGAGAAGCCAGCTTCCAGAGCAGGCTCGATCGAGCTTAGCCCTATTAAGGCAAAGTTCAGCGAAAAAAATTTTCCCACGGTGGTTTTTAGGAGAAGCCAGCTTCCAGAGCAGGCTCGATCGAGCTTAGCCCTATTAAGGCAAAGTTCAGCGAAAAAAATTTTCCCACGGTGGTTTTTAGGAGAAGCCAGCTTCCAGAGCAGGCTCGATCGAGCTTAGCTATATTAAGGCAAAGTTCAGCGAAAAAAATTTTCCCACGGTGGTTTTTAGGAGAAGCCAGCTTCCAGAGCAGGCTCGATCGAGCTTAGCCCTATTAAGGCAAAGTTCAGCGAAAAAAATTTTCCCACGGTGGTTTTTAGTTGAAGCCAGCTTCCAGAGCAGGCTCGATCGAGCTTAGCCCTATTAAGGCAAAGTTCAGCGAAAAAAATTTTCCCACGGTGGTTTTTAGGAGAAGCCAGCTTCCAGAGCAGGCTCGATCGAGCTTAGCCCTATTAAGGCAAAGTTCAGCGAAAAAAATTTTCCCACGGTGGTTTTTAGGAGAAGCCAGCTTCCAGAGCAGGCTCGAT